ATTGCATTTAATCTCTCTTAGCAACCACATCACCCTGTTGATTTAGTTTAACATGTGGTCGACTGAAGTCCCTAAATTATTTTCACACCTATTTCTATGTATCTCCTGCTTCAGTGCAGAGTTTTATATTAATATTTACGTTGTTTCCTTTTTCTTACTTGGGCTCAATTCACTCTCCTTGTTGAGATTATTTTGAATAATCAGTCCTTGAAATTTGTTGGAGTGCAAATTTGATGACCAGCTTTTACCAGCTTCGTCCAAATCTACAAGGATGATCAAAGCAACGGTGTACCTGAGATTCATTTTTTATTTCTCCCATGAGTGACAAGCTATTAGGAACGGCCACATCTATCATCTATTAATCCTTTTTTTAATCAGCTTTGATGATTAGAAGGCTGTTGACTTTAGATGAGCTTTAATGGTCAAGCATGACAAGTGGGTGACAGGTCCTATACTTGCAATCAAATCCAGTCTACAATAATATTTCTTTATGGGTACTTTGTTTCATCTTTTGAGGACACGTGTCACATAGGGGCACAGTCTCCTACAACTTTACTTTGAAGGGGATAGATTTTTTTTTGTTGGCAAGTAGCAGCTCACTTTTGAACACACATGACTTCAAGAGTGGACAAATTTTTGGTAGTCAGGAGGTAGATGAAGTTAACATTTGGGGGGAACCCAGGAGCTCTAAAGCATGGGACTATTATTTTAAAAAGATGGAGCCCTGGCAAAGCTGGGGTTTTGTTGTTTTTTCTGAGGTTTGGAAGAGTTGGAAATCATCATCATCATCATCATCATCATCTTTTTTGCTTTCTTTTGCCATAGGCAAAAGAAAGCAAAGATAGTCCCAATAGTTATAGACACCTTAGGTGCAATCCCAAAACATCTGGAGCACCACTTGAAGACCATCATCAGCATTGACAAACTCACCATCGGTCCATTCCAAAAGGCAGCTTTACTTGGAACAGCTTATATCCTGCAACAATACCTTTAACCCCATCAAGCAACAACATCTGTCTATCTCAGGTCCTTGGGAAGGACTTGATAGGTGGATAAAAATGCCAAATCCAGTCTAAAC